AACCCGTGAGTTTTCAGTTTAGTTTTTGATCCCTGAGTTTAACCTGTTTTCTGTCCTCTCTGCCTTCCAGGGCAGATTACCAGTGTTCATAAATAAATATTGGACTTACCCTGCCTCTGAGTCTGTGAGTTCTGCATCCTTGGGCTAGCAAACCAACCACGCATCCTGACAAGAAGTCATACAAGCAAGTAACCATATGCCACATACCTTCCTACATATTTTGCATTTGTTTCATAATTTAGTTTTAAGAATTTGTCAAGGGTGATGAGGGATAATGCCTTCTCTCTAGTCAGAAAGGATAGACAAAAGTTATACTATGTTCTCATCGTGATAAAATTACTATAGACACAAGTATTATAACACTGAGAATGGTCCTAACTACCTATGAGGACACTGAGGTAATCTCTTATTTTTTTATTTTTTGCTTAAATTGTGATTTATAAACTGAAAATAAATAACATTAAAACTGACTGTAGGATGATGATCTTGGTCTCCTACATAACTGTGAGGTGTCAGTTTCAGGCAAGAGTAGCGTGACTGTTTAATAAAACAGTATGTCGAAGGTTTCGACGTATATACTGCGGGTCATTGATAACACACGCTGTTGCTATGGTAACAGCTGCACACAAGCTATGAGTAGATAGTCTGTCAGTCGAGGAGCAGATCAAGCTTCAAATGTAGGTGGAGAGCAGTTTAAGCTGTAGCTGATTGTAAGAAAAAAGTAGCATTTTCATGAGGAAATATTTTGACTTCAGCCCAGGGTACTATTCAGACAGCTAGGGAACATTAAACCAAAGTTTAATTGACTCCATCAGTACAGTCATCAATCAATTTCCAGTAGTCGAATCAACATTCAATATGCAACTGATATGTTAGTGACATTTTCTACTGAAAATGGAATGTTTATTAAGCATTGGTTTCTCACAGTTGGATGTTGAACCTGTTTTTTATTTCTGCAGATGCTGGAGCCCAGCGCAGCAAGACGTCACTGAACAAATTATACGTGACAGGAAGTAGTGCCAAGAAACACAATTAAACGACTCCTATATATGGATTTATGTATGTAGTTGCTTAAATCACCATAATTTATCTTGTTTATTTAATATTTATACTTCTTTAGCTAGTTTTACTACTTTGACATTGGGCTGCTCTGAAAACCAGGGCAACTTATTCTGTTTCATGTCATGTTAATGCCTGAAATGACAAATAAAACTCCTTAAACATGATGTTAAAATGGGATATTGTTTTCATTTCTATCATTTTAGTTTTAGCCTGTGTTGATATTCTTCATTAAAGGTACACTATGCAACCGGTGTTGATTTTCCAGTGAGGCTCCCTCCAGAGGGCGAAAGTAAAAGTGCACTGTCGTAAATATGCTCAGCT